CTGTGTCTTGTGGGTACAGTTATACACCTCTGATCAGAGTAAAACTATTCGAATAGCCGTGCCCGCGGTTATGGGCGGTCAACCAGATTCACCGTGATTAGTCTCACCTTAGCGTAATCTTTTGAAACTGGATAGTTTAGGTGGATGGTTGGGCCTGTCGCAACATGGGTTAGCGTTGGACAGTGGATAGTTAATATTAATTAATTATTACAACTGTTTAATCTTTCAACTTCTGTTTATAAATGCTCGCTTTATGCAAATGAACCACTTTAGCTCTTCTTTGATAATTCCCTGCATCATACCCCTATTCCGGTATGACTTGCTGAGTACAGTGGGTAGTACTCAGTCTTGCTCTACTTTTCCCAACCCCAGAGTTCGAGTTCGGGTCAGATGAAGGTTTCCCCGAGGAGTAGGCTTCGTCCGTGCCGTCGAGGATGCCTGTGGAGTGGTGTTCCCGCTGCAGTTTTAGTCAAGGCTTAGCTCTTGTTGTCTTTCTTTTCTTCCGCTGCATTTATGTAAGATTTTTATGATGTTTGTAAGACGTGGATCTGAATGTCAACATTGTCGTTTGTGTACCCCGGCCGGTCCTGGACGGGGATTTTAATGCACATTCTGCTTGAAATTCTATTCGGGAATTTCTGGGCGTGACAGCTGCCCCCCAGGCCCCCGTCGTGGGGCCCAGAAGCACGACCCCCTCCCGGGGTAGATTGTTCCCCCTGCAGCTCCCGCCCGCGCCATCGTGGCCACGGAGGGCCTGCTCCCCCGACGCCCCGACCGCCTGCATGATGGTCAGGATGTTGGCGCGCTCTGGATCGCAGCAGAGGGGGAGGACTCCTTGGGGGATGAGGGATGCCTCCACGGAGCTGAGATTCAGCACCCGTTGGACCACCATCTTGAAGTCCTCAGGGTCCCAGTCCCATGTGCGCCCCTGGTGGGTCCTCATGAAGTCCTCCGGCCCGGAGTACTCCCAGGCGCCCCGGGCGCGCCGTTGGAGCGGCGCGATCCGGCGACGAAGGTAGTCGCCGAACACCATGGCGCCAGTGAGTCCCTCGGATCGCAGACCCGCCAGGCGGTCAAGAACGGCGTCGTAGCCGTCTCCCAGATCTACCGTCGCCCGCCAGCTGGAGGCCTGCGCCGGGGGCTGGCTCGGAAGTCGGAGGCGCGCTTCGTCGGCGAGGGGGGTGTAGAACCAATCGCTCTTCCAGTCGTCCCACTTCTTGCGGAGGACGCAGGGAATGTAGCGGTGCAGCACCTGCCCCCGCGGCTGGAAGTAGCAGCCACCGACTACCGACGGCGGCGGCACCGGCTGTACGGTGAAGAACCACCGGAACAGCCGGAGAGATGGGCGCACCCCGATGAACATCTCGCACAGGTGTGGGAAGATGGCCAACGTCATTACCGCGTTGGGGGTGAGGTGCGCCATCTGGAGATCATAAAACTCCAGAATATCCATGAAAAAAGAAGAGAATGGCGGGACCAGCCCTGCCATTGCGAAAGAGAGGAAGAAGACGGACCGCCCCGGGTAGTGTGGCGCCGGGCGTCCTTCGCCCAGCACGACCACCTCCCGGCTGGTGGCAGATTCCGGCATGAATCGGCGCGGCAGCCCGGCCTGCCTCTCGCTCACGATGCGGGAAGGCGGCAGCACGCTACCATCGAGCGGTGCGGAGCCCCGTGCCATGATGCCGACGGAGGAGGAGCTTGAGAGCGAGTGAGTGCGGCAAGGGTAGGGCACAGGAAACAAAGAGTTAGAGCTCAAGTGGCGAAGGCAAGGGGAAGAATGGTGAGAGGAAGGAAACGAATCTCTTCCACGGCGTCTTTATACCCTTGCCAACGCTATTCCCGGCTCCTCGTTTCCCGCGCCCACTACCTCGCCCCCTCGTTTCTCGCGCCCACGCCTCCACTAACCCAACTCGCCCGTTTGCGGCGCACGAGGCAGATGTGCGGCCGTAGCAGTTGAGATGGGACAGATCGTGCGCGCGTTAACCACGCTCGCTAAACGCGAAAAGCGCCATCATCACGCCTCCAGGCGAAACGAACCGGCTCGTCCCGATTCGCGCGCTGCTCGAGTGATGTAGCGGTCTTGAAGAGGCCGTTCATTATTATCGGTCGATTTTCCCTTGCCGATGCGCGCGACTTGCGACCGCTGGGTTCCTGCCCACCTGTAGAGACCGGCCCCACCTGTCACCAGGCCTAAAGAGTGGCGTCACGCCCGAGCGCTTCCCTCGAGGGGGGCGATCGCCCTGGCGTAACGCCGGGGGCTACTGTCGGTGACATGGGGCCGGGGGTATCGTGACTAGAGGCTTGGGTAGCCGCGGTCACCCACGTGGCCTGACCCCCTCGGGGGGGTCGGGCCCGAGGAAGATGTGGCCACCCCTCCCTCTGTCTCCCCGAGGGGTCGGGCCGCCCCTGTTTCGGCCCCGAGGGCTGGGGCGCCCCGACCCCCTGTGGTTTTGGCGCCACGTGTGTGGGTTAGGTGAGCACAGCGGGGCTCACCTAACCGCATTTAAAGCAGGTTGGACGAGCGCGCCACGCCGCATTTAATGCAGCGCAGCGCTCGCTTACCCGGTCCGTGACCGGTCGCAGTGGTGACCGGTCACAGACCGGTCGGATCGCGGGTTAGGTGGCAACAGGCGGCCTGTCACACGCCTCGCCCCGTCCCGTCGGAATGATGAGAGCCTCCAGGCACTCGTCCCTAGCCGGAGCCGGCGTGCTAACTCCTGGAGTTGGCACGTCAGTCTCGGCCAGATTCATACCAGGCTTCATCGCAACCATTGCAAGGAAGTCATTGTATGAAGAAGGGCAGACATGTGGCATGCTAAACTGACGCGTGGTGGACAAAAATGACCGGTCTGTGACTGGTCTGACGCCGGTCACGTCATCGGCAGACAACCGTGCTCCCACGTTGCATCTGCTTCCGGCGGAGTGGAGGTAGATATGACCAATCCCGTCGGAGGGTCATTCGGACAGCGGCAATTGCAAATCTCCGCCCATTAATGAAGGAATGACAGGGGTATCCCCTGTGTTAGGCGAGTGACGGCGCTGAGCCTCACTCAAGGACAAGCTGTGATTTAGCTTCCAGGAGAAGGCGCGTGCCAAGTTTTGGTCAAGATAGGGTGGGTCCCCACCCAAAAGAAGTGTAGGTAGAAGTGGTGCATGTGGTATCCCCTTGAGATATAAAAGGAGGACCTTGCCCACCGAAGAAGGGGGACTGGAGGACAACACTGAGAATAGCTGAACTCTCTTGCTCTCCAACTCTCTGTAACTCTTTCACACACAGATCCACCAGAACACAGGAGTAGGGTATTACGCTTCTCAGCGGCCCGAACCTGTCTACATCGCCCGTGTCTTGTGCGTTTGCTCTCTCTCGCGAACATTCCACAGATCGAGGGTGAAGAATCTCACTTAGCGCCCCTGGCCGAACCGGCAAAGGGGGGCCTGCGCGGTCTCCCGGTGAGGAGCCCCACGCTCCGGCATGCTCCATTTTATCAACTTATCATTTAATGCTTTTTTTTAGTGAGCAACAACTGTAAACAGTAGGCTGTATTGCTGTAAACATAACCATTGTTGGGTTGAGATGTCAAATTCTGTATGTTGCATTCTGTATTAAAGGAGTGTGTGTTCTTATCTGAGATGTTAAGTTCATCAATTTTTTGTTCAGTATGGGAGTTGGTTAATGGTTTCAAATTTTTGGGGTATTTTACAGGTGTTTGACGGTTATGGTCGTACAGACGAAGCATCTTTTGTTTAGAAGAACTTACAAAGGTCCATGATGATGCTTGGTTGACTTCCTCAGCAGCATCCACAATGTAATCAAGAGTGCATTTTGGCAAGTATCTCAAAATGTTATTCTGGTGGTACTCATAAGATTTGGAAGGTTTGACCTCAGGGGCCATAGGATCTGTCCCTTGTGCTGCCGCCTCCACCGTAAGGGGGAGAAGGGAGGGCCAAGTAGGAGGAGATAGCGGGCATGGCCTGGTTTCACGACAGACGCCGGGAAGGAGGAGGTTGGAGGGCGAAGGGTTGATGATGGCCGCAACTTGATGCCTTGGTGACAGCTCAAGCGGTGTGATGGTGGTGTCATGGCCTCCAGATTTGGCAGCGAGGAGGTTGTGGCAGCACCTCGGGTTCTGACCTTCTATATAGCTCCTTCTGCCCATGTAAATTTTCTGTAAAGTTCTCTTGTGTGATGTCTATTCAGGCCCTCCTCCCCCTGATTCTTTGATGGTTTAAAAGATCGATTTTGTGATTGTGTTGGATCCATTCATTTTTGTTAAAGATTGATTCTGTTGGCCGTGTTAAGATTTATTCGAGGCACAGGCTCTTCCTTCAGTTTATGTGATGCAGAATGTTGGAGAAACGGGAACCGGAGTCCTCCTTCCTCCGGGGCCCTAGTGCGCCGTTGGCTATATATTTATGCAATCGATTGGCCTGACAAAAAATAATAATGTAATATGATATAAAATTTGTTCCCATTGCAACACATGAGTGAAATTTCAAATGGTATTCGAGAATTCAAATTTGAAATAGTAATATCGATCTAAATTTGATAAAAAAAATGTATCAAAATTTGATGAAAAATGTCATATAGCTGAGGGTTGGCATATGACACTAAATCGAAAAGGTGAACCTTAGCTACAAAGGCTTAGTTGTGTCTGGATTATAAAAAATTAATCATGCCATATAATTCACTTAATATTTCATATCTTTTAATTCGTAAACAAAATATCATTTCGTAACAAAATACTAGCTCAGTAGCTCTCATGGCTCATATTTATCTTTGATGAATCATGAAACGGCTATTGTCGGGGTAAATATCTAGCTTCGAACATGATATCTTTTGATTTCCATTGTAACACGCGGGCACACAACTAGTATACAAGATAAATCAAGACAATTGTGGGACCCACAAAGCCCGGAGAAAACAGTGCAGGTGCGTAGTTCAAAATTTGAACAGTACGTGTGGGACCCACCGAAAATATTAAGCACGTTTTCTAAAAAAATTAAGTGGGACCCACAAAAGCCCAAAAAACAAGCCCAAATACCTGGTCCATCCAATCCACAAAAGAAACAAGTCAACATAGAAGGCCCATATGAATTATAAAAGTCCATCTCTCAGCACGAAGGAAAAAGTATACTTCGACTCCCTCAACTATCGCCCAAGTATGATTTATGTCCTCCAACCACAAAACCGGGTATATTAACTCCTCCAACTATCAAAACCGGTGCAAACAATGACTCTGGGTGGTTTTGGATGACATGGCGCCTACGTGGCAGTCTTGGCGCTTACGTGGCATTAGAATAAAACAAAAAAATAAAAAGAATATGTGAGACCCACATGTCATTCACACAAATAAAGTATTGCATGTGGGACCCACATGCCATCCTCCCTATCCTTCCCTTCTTCCTCCTTCCTCCCTCTGTCTCTCTCCCTTATCTCTCTCTCCTCCGGCCTTCCGCCCCGTGACGAGCTCCAGGATGAGCACGCCGAAGACGCCGTAGATGTCGCACTTCTCATTGATCCGAAGGCTCTGGCACGCCAGCTCCGCCGCCACATTCCCCATACCGTCCTGGAACCGGCTGCTCATCACGTGCTTGTCCAGCTTCGGCAGCAGTCGCGCCAGCCAGAAGTCGCCAATCATCGGGTTGCACTGCTCGTCGAGCAGGATGTTGCTCGGCTTCACGTTGTAGTGCACCCTGCCCTCGCCGACCGACGCGTGGTACACCGTCCCGAACACGCCGCGGCCGATCTCCGTCGCCTTGCTCAACAGCGCGTCGCGCCGCCCACGAAGTCCTCGGAACGGAGGAGGCTGTTCCCCGGCCCAAACGTCACCATATTGCCCGTGGCAAGCTTGCTGGACTTGGTCGAGCTTGACACGATGCTCTCCAGCTCTTTCTCCGGAGTCGTCCCGCCGTCGCTGGCCCTCCGCCGCGCCGATATGTTGAGCAGGGTAGATGCCGAGGTTGCCCTCGAGCGCGCTCGCGTCGAGGCTCTGGAACACGCCCGACGCCGGCAGCCGGCCGACGAGGCGGTTGTGCGAGACGTTCACCGCCAGGAGGCTCTCGATCCCGCTCAGGTTGTTGTACTCTAGCCTCAGAATCTCCAGCTTATTCAGCTCCGAGATGCCCACCAGTATCGGCCCTGTCAAGCTGTTGTGCCCCAAGCTCCTGCCATAGCAAACCCGATGCATCGATCAAACGTCATGCAATTCGTCGTTGTCGTCTTCAATGCAACGAGGACATTGTAAATGTAATTAGCAATTTTTTGACTTACAGTTGGTACAGGAACGAACAGTTGCCGATGTTGTTGGGGATGGGGCCGGCGGCGAGGGATCAGTTGCAGTCGAGCTGGAGCACGGCGAGGTTGCCGGCCTCGCACAGGTCGCTCGGCATTGTCCCGTACAAGCCGCTGCTGTGGAGGTCGAGCACGGTGAGGTTGTGGAGCAGGCCGAGCTCCGGCGGTAGCTGGGTGCGGAGGTCGTTGCGGTACAGGTTGAGGTAGCGGAGGTTCATGAAGAGCGCCATTTCCGCCGGGATGCCTCCGGTGAGCTGGTTGACGGAGAGGTCGAGCCATTGCAGGGTCTCCGCCAGCTTCGTCGAGCCCAACGGCACGACGCCAGAGAGCACGTTCGACGACATGGTGAGGAGAAAGGCCGGGGAAGAGAGAGATAAGGGAGAGAGAGGGAGGAAGAAGGGAAGGAAACATGTGGGTTCCACATATTTCTTTTTATTTTTTTATTATTCTAATACCACGTAAGCGCCACGTAGGGTAGAGACTCGGTCAAAACCGCCACGTAAGCACCGTCATCCAAAACCACCCAGGGGCATTGTTTGCACCGGTTTTGATAGTTGGAGGAGTCGATATACCCGGTTTTGTGGTTGGAGGATATGAATCATACTCGGACGATAGTTGAGGGAGTCAAACTATACTTTTTCCCAGCACGAATCTTGAACAGATAAGGGTCCAAAAAACGAAAGATTAAGCCCAACAGAGAGGAATAGCAATTCCGTTATTTTATTTTCACGGGCGGCAGAAACATCTTTTATTTTTTATTTTTTATAAGTAGTAGAGATATATATCAGTTTTTAAGAATACTTTCCTTGTAATTTAGCACTCCCTCTATTCAAAACATAACAATTGCTAGATAGATTGGTATTAGAATGTCTTATCCAAAAAAAAATTAATTTTAAGATGGAGGGAGTAATACACTGCACAGCGGCAACAGCAGGAGCAGCTGGCGACAACATTTCAGTTTCAGGATTGCATTTCACGCTCATTCCATTGCCAACATCAGTTCTTAATTTAGATCAATATCCTGTCTTGTCTGGTTATATTCTGAAATTCTGCTTCGATCGAGGACCTTGCAACCCTGATTCTCAGCTTCACTTTGTGCTCTCCCTTGCAACAACAATCCATACTGGATTCAAAATTGTATTTGACCAAACAGGTTTTGCAGTCCCGTTGCAGGAGACAATACGTAATACTCCCTCCTTCCATTTGAACTAACCAATAATAACAATAACTAACAGATAATATATAGTGTCAACTCCAAAAGTTATTCAGATCATACATTATGATGGGTAGAACAGGGTGTTGAAAGATTATTCAGAAGATATCAGCGATGACGGTGCCATTAGACACGTGGCATAGCGACTTGTTCTTTTTCATTCGAAGCTTAAGTTTGGTATTTCCACTGCCATCGCCGTCGTGTCCAACCGGCAACACCTCCACACCGGTGAAGACTTCAATCCTGTCAATTATTTCACCGTCGTCCATAGACACAATGCGGAAGAATCTTGCAATGCAGAACCTGCCCGAGCCCAGGTTGACAAGCTGCGGATCATGTGATTCCAGCCAACCCTTAGGTGGGTCAAATTCCTTCCAATCGCCAATAAGTTGTGGCTGGGAGTGGGAGTCCATGGTGGAGAGATCAGCAGCAGCCAACGGCGACATGGTCCTGGCCTCAGTCGAGAAGCCAAACCAGAGCTTGAGCTCAGGGACATACACAACCTTGCCATACAAGGGTAGATTCCCATTACCGACTTCCCATGTGTTTCTCGCTGTGTCCAAGCAGTAGGTTGCGTTGCAGCTGTTGTGGGATATGCAGATGTTAGAGCCGACCACTGCATAGGATGTGATCTTGGGGTAGGTGAAGCAGCAGGTACGATCAGAGACGAATGGCGGTGGCCGGAGGAGGTGGCAGTTCCATGGGCCCTCAAAGATGTTGCTGCACACAAAGGCCTCAAACTGATCACTCAGCTTCACATCGCCCTTCTCTGGCTCAGGAACCCTCTCCATGACATAGAGGCTGCCACCGCCAACGCTGGGATGGTCATTGGCATCAGCAGTACTTGGGATGAATAGAGAGATGGGCCGTGACTTGGGCTTGTGGAGGTTTGGGATACTCACCACGGCGCGCGTGTCGGCGTCACAAAGGAACATACGCCTGGTGTGGTCCGCTATTACCACCTTGCGATCTACAAGGGGGAAGCAGTCGAGAGAAATCTGGTCGGATCCATGTGTAGAACAAAACTTGAGGATGGGTCTGGGAAGCCGAATCCTCTCCATCTTTAAGCCTGCTGCCTTCTTCTTGGGATTACAGGAGTCGGACACCAGTGTCTGAGAGGTGTAGTCTTCTTGCACAGCTGCTGACTCTGATCCATGTGCGATTGTTGTTGGTGGTGGTGGTGTAGCGGTGTTACCGAACAGCTGGCCTGCCAGATCGACGCAGCGTAGCCATTTGGCGCCTTGGAAGGGGACGTCGACGATGAGATTCTTAGCCCGACGCGACAGGCCCATCTTCAGAGTCGATCAGCAACTCCCAAGTTCCAGCTGAAGCGACCGGGCCGTCAAAGGATGAAAAAGAGAATGGGAAATTAGTTGCAGATAAGAGGTAGTACAAGAAAGGGTGTATTGTTTGCAGGAGTTAGGATGAAGGAAGGAAGAGTACCTCCAATAAGCAGCAGCAGCAAACAGAAGATGTAGCCAGCCGAGCCGAGATAAAGCTTCCTAATGAATAACGCAGATAGCAAATGTAAGCAGAAGAAAAGGAAACTGACTTTCGATCATACAGGATGAAGTCGAAGCACAAGTAAACAAGCGATTAACCTTGAGGCGCGCGGTCGGAGCAGGAAGTCAGACTGGGATGGAGTCTCGACGCCTAAAAGTTTGGGTCTGCCATGCCAGGGAGGGAGGGGGAGAAAATCAAGGGGTAAATTAGAAACAGAGAAGAAAGGGGAATCTTAGTTTTTAGTTAAAAGACAAAGACAAAAAAAACTAGCGACCCTAAATCTAGCAGATACGAGCAAGGAAGGAAGAGTACCTCCAGCAAACAGATGCGACCGCAGTGGATTGCGCGTCCTGCCCTGCCCTGCGATGGATCTATCAAAGAGTGTTCAGACCTTCAAATGCAAAGATGAAATCACGAAAACCTAACAAACATCACCGAGAAAACAATATATATGCAAAGATTAAACGAAATAAAAGGAATCGGCTTTCGATCAAACATGATATCAAGGTGCAGCAGATGCACAGCTGCTGACCTGAGGAGCGCGGTCCGGTCGGAGAAGGGGAAAGGGGCCAGCGGCGGCCGGCGGGGATGGGAGTGGCGAATCGAGATTGGGATGGGGGCTCCGGCTTCCCCTTCCTTTTAGGGTTCCCGCATTTCTGCTTCTGTCCGTGGGCCTCTCTTAGAATGAGCTTGGCCCACACTGGTAAATTATGGGCCGGCCTACGACGGCGTCAAATGTCCCGCCGAACGAGAAGGTACACTTGACCTCCCTCAGTCAAATGACATGTAGATCCAATCTATCTTCTGCCCTATAATTCACCCACTACAGTCCTACTAGTAATATGCCCATGCTAAACACTACGGTACAACTCTATTTGTCTTTAATTTTTTTTAAAAAATATTTCATGTTAGCCACCGCCGCCCGTCTCCCCTCCTCCTACTCGCCCCCCAACCCTGTCCCTCTCCTGCCGCCGCTGACGGGCCCCGCCTCCGCCTCGCGTCGTCCCCGTCACCTCGCACCGCCTCTGCCTTCCCCTCGCGTCGCCGCCTACACCTCCGCCGCCGGTGCTGCCGCTGTCGCCTTGCCGTCTCCACCTCCCTCTTGCGCCGTCGCCCTCGCCGAGCGCGGGTTTCGCCGGCGGACGCGGAGAAAGTGAGGAGGCGAGCGCTCCTCTCCTTTTCCCCGGCTGCGACCACCGGCATGGAAGAAGAAGAACGCGGCGGCAATGATCTCAACCATTGTGGCGGCGGCGATGACTGGTGGCAACGATGACCTCGACCACGGCGGTGGCAACAACGACGACCTCGACCACCACAGCGACGATGGTAATGACCTCGACCTCACCCGCTTCAACTGGTTGCTGACCGGATTTGGACGAGAATGAGATTTCGGTCATCGGATCGGTTGATGGCGAGCTCCTGGTTAAGAGTTAAGAGTAATTAATCAGAAATTTTAATCAACACTGAACAGCACACCCATGCTGTACAGGCCCAACCATCCTGAACAACCATACCCGGCTGTACAGATCTAACTCCAAACCAGGAGCTAAACAAATTATTACCAGTTATAGCATCCATAATTATTGTGAGAGGTGTGAGACTAATCACGAAAAACATTGCTCAACCCGCCCATAACCGCGGGCACGGCTATTCGAATAGTTTTACTCTGGCCAGAGGTGTACCACTGTACCCACAAGACACAGCCTCAACATCATGTCTACCATGCGTCGCGATACTGGAAAGTACCCGAATAGAGGCTGTAACAATACCCTCTGCACAACACAACTCACCACAGTGCACCATTCCTGGATCATAATCACCCCCTTATAAAACAAGGCATGGACTCCCCAGCGACCCCCGTGGGCTTATCTCCGCCACTTCTCAGTCTGGTGCTCCGCAATGAATCATGTTATACAAAAGGTAAAGCCGTTGCCCACGCTGGCTTGTGGTTGGCACGGTTAATGTTTCACAACAGTAGCTCGCGAACCGGTCCTTAATTGCCATGAGCACGACTCTCAAAACCATGTGCTCACAACCCACCATTATCAAGTTTTAGTTGGCAAGTAATTAATTAACCAATCACGATTGACCATCGTGAACTATCATTAAGCCATCATTAAATAATAGTGAGTCATAAGTTATCCCAATAGTGTGCTAATGTTTCTAAGCATGGCTAAGCAATCATATCTAATATCTAGCTGAACCAATATATAAAGCTCAACTAGTCAAGTTATAATAACCCAAGGTATCAAGAAATAAAGTAATCAATGCAAATTGGCCATAACAAAGGAATAAGTTCACACCACCCGGTGACATTCTAAAATAAATGCATAGTTGAAATAAATAGAGAATTTTAAATATAGGATCAACATGCTCAAAGGATTGTGTTTAGGATCTGTGTGACTTGCCTTGCAATAATCGGTCTTCAATTAATCTTCTTGAATACTTCCGGCGCACTCGCGAACCTTCGCAACGACGAAAACGACAAGCTAACACGCAAAACGAAGAAAAAGACTAATAAAAACCAAATAAACAATACATAAAAAGTAAACAAACATGTAGATCATAATTTTAGATGAATTATGAGACTTGAACGGCCTCATTCTGACTTCAAAAGAATTTATTATGAATTTTATAAGATTAAATCTAATTAAAGCCCATTTAAAAAGAATTAAATAAATTTAATTCAATTCATGGACAATTTTAATATGTAGATCTTTATTTTATACAATTTTTGCAACTTGAACCACATTAAACTGAGTTACAATGAATTAGTTATGAATTTTTAAAGATTAAATCGGATTAAAACACTTATATGGATTTTAATTGAATTATGACGCAATAATGAATTATTTTTGAAAAGGAAAAGAGAATTATTGCGTCAGCGGCTAGGGTTTGCGGTGTACCGGGCGCACGGCAACGGTTCACGGGAACGGACGGCCGAGATCGATCATATCCAAAACGGACGGCCGAGATCGAACGGATCCACCGCGGCTCACGGATGAACGACGACGATGACGTCAGCGGTGACGTCAGCGATGACGTCAGCACCGGCGGCGGCTTGGCGGCTCGGCAGCTCGGGCGGCGCATGCTCGCCGGCGAACGACGGCACGACGACGCAAACGGAAGGCACCAACGGGTAGAAGGCGACGCGACGAACTCACCGGTGACCAAAACCACGGCGGAAAAGCAACGGACGGCGCCGGCGACGAGGAAGAAGCGGCGGCGAAGATCGGGTCGACGGCGGCGACGGTGCTCTGGCGGTCTTCGGCGACGGCGAAGGGGTGGACGGGGACGGCGGCGACTTGGCGACCACGATGGCGACCTCCCCGAGCGACGACGACGACCGGAACGGCGGCGGCGCACGGCTGGAGCGGCGGCGACGACGGCGGCGCTAGGTCACACGGCGCTAGGGCGCTTCCGACGGCGAGAGACGAAGGCGAGGGAGGCGGCGGGTAGAGGAGACACCGGGGGTCCTTTTAAAGGGGTTGGAAGGCGGCGGCAAAGGCCCACGGCGACCGGCGGCGGGATGGAAAGCTTGGGGTTCGGAGGAAAGAAACCGATCCGATTCGACCTCGAATCCATGAACTTCCAAAGCGATTAAGACGATGATTCCAAAAGAGAAAAGGAAGAGGAGATCGAGAAGATCATTTCCCCTCAAAAGATTTCACCGGAGAAGGAAAGAATCGACCGGATTTGGAAGGAGACGGCGGCGGCTCGGACGCGGCTCGGCTAGGGTTTCGGGCGGCGGCGGCTGGAGGTTGACGACAACCCTGACAGGTGGGGCCCACCTGTCAGCGACATCGAGAGAGAGAGAGGAGAGCGGCGGCTCGGACTGGGCTGACTGGGCCGGGGAGAGAGAGAAAGAGAGGGGTTTTGGGCCGACTTTCGGCCCAAAGCCAAAAGAAGACATTTAAAAACCTTTTTCAATTTAAATTATTCATGAAATGCAATTCCATTTATTAAAAATACTTCCTTAGCTCAAATAAATCCCAGAAAAATCTAGGAATTATAGAATTAAGCAAAGTATTTAACAAAATTTTATCTAGCCCAATTTTATATTGAGATTTAACAAATTAAAATTAGATCTTCTCTTTTAAGCTTTTAAGATCATTTCTAATTATTCCTTTTAAACAACAATTTATAATTTAAGGATTTTTAAACAAAAAAAAACTCTTAACAAATATAATTAGATCATTATTGATCAAATAATTACTGAACTGTTCTTTGTATCATTTAAGGAATTGAGCTCTGAAAAATCCGAGAAAATCTCAGAGAGTTGACTTAATCATGGGGAATTTAATAAAAATTAAATCCATCCATGCTTTATATTTAGGAAATTTTATTTCCCACATTTAACTTCACTTGTAAATTAAAGATCATTTGATATAAATTCAAATAATAATTTATTAAATAATTTATAAATCCTGAAACAAAAATCAGGATGTGACAGCCGCCGGTGCTGCCACTGTCGCCTTGCCGTCTCCACCTCCCTCTCGCGCCTTCGCCCTCGCCGAGCGCGGGCTTCGCCGGTGGACGCGGAGAAAGTGAGGAGGCGAGCGCTCCTCTCCTTTTCCCCGGCTGCGACCACCGGCATGGAAGAAGAAGAATGCGGCGGCAATGATCTCAACTATTGTGGCGGCGGCGATGACTGGTGGCAACGATGACCTCGACCACGGCGGTGGCAACAACGACGACCTCGACCACCACAGCGACGATGGTAATGACCTCGACCTCGCCCGCTTCAACTGGTTGCTGACCGGATTTGGACGAGAATGAGATTTCGGTCATCGGATCGGTTGATGGCGAGCTCCTGGTCGCTTGATTTAGTGGCACTGGGCTCGGCGGTGACAGATTGGGTGGCGCTGAGGAGGATGAAGTTTCATGCACCGGTATGCTTCCTCCAGTCACCGTTGTTTCTAGCGATTCTCTTTCCATCCCCACTCCCTATTGATCTGTATTGCCTCGTCAAATAGTGACCGCGAGCCGATGCTTGCTGAGGAGCCCGTACTTTAGGCCTTCCAATCTTCAATCAACCGCTCAAGGGCTCAAGGTGTTTACACCTAAATTTGGCACCTAGGATCGAAATAGGAAAAATTGCCAAAGTTTGAAGTTCTGCCGGTTTCCTCCAGAGTGGGCTGGTCTGACCGCCGTTTGTCGGCCAGTCAGACCGGGCGGTATGTGGCTGGTCTGACCGGCGGTATGTAGCCAGTCTGACCGGCAGAGTCCGAGTCCGGGTCTGTTTCGCCGGGTCTCGAAGTTTCCTTGCTCGGGAAGACATGTTTCGGGTTTCCTTTGGATTCTATCCCGAATTGGACATGGAGGAGAGCCTGTTGAGGGCAAGACCAACCCCTATATAAGGGAGTAAGGCCGGTTCATTGTAAAGATCAATCTACAATCAATCAATCGAATCGTTTTTCATATTGCTTTTAGTTTACTCTTAGTTTGTCTATCTTTGTCGATTTGCGCCGTAAATCGTCCGCCGCCGCTGCGAGAGTGCGGCACCTCTTTGTAGGTTTGTCCTGAATACCTTCCGTTTTGCCCACGAGACGGGTAGCTATATAGAATCGGCTCCGCTAGCCGATTTAGTTATCAAAACCCATCTTAGTCTAGTTTTTGCTAGATTGAGGTGGTTGGCGACTCTAGGATCACCGCAAGGCATTTAGGTGCTGCGATCGTGCTTGGTAATTTGTCACAAAAAGTTGCCAATACAAGGTAATGCGTGTGTGTGTGTGTGTGTGTGAGTTCTAAACCCAGCCAAGCACCCAATCCCAGTCCCGAACTGTCTAGCGAGGCACGGTGGTGTCACGCTTGACGGTGGGCCAGTTAAGCATGGGGCTGCTGGTAAAGATAATGCTGGTGGTTGCATTGAACCTGTGTTTATATGTTCTGGTTTTGTTTATTTATAGTGGTCATATGATTGCTGTGCTATGCAGGATGAATCAGGTTCGCTGACTTCGCATGACCCATCCATCAGGTGTTTGTTGGAGATCTTGCATTTGGTGTTGCTCGCTTTGTATACATGCGTGGTTCTTTTATTAGCTACTGGATGGCATGAGAGGTACAGGGTTTCTTATAACTTATTTAGGCTTCTCAAAGGGAAATAGTCATTTTCATTGGTTAATTGATTTTTCTGGTCTTTACAAATATCATGTCAGAACGGATTTTCGTTGTGCTGCTGTAGGTCCCTCTATCGCTTCATCCTACGATTAATTAATATGTTTAGAGGCATTTCCTGTGTGGGTCATGGTTTATAGGTGCCCTTATGAATGATATCGTCTTCTATGGCTGCTATTTCTCTATATCATGGGCATATTTATTACAGCTTGTCAGGCACTGAGATTAGATTTTGTTTTTAGCCATGGCATAGGCTTTATTGTTATATTCTTCTTACTTTATATATTACAGCTTTTTATGTTGCTGAGTATGTACGATGATTAAGGCTAGGTCTTGAATTTATAGTAGTTTTGTATGGTACTCCAAATCAACTTGGGCCTTCGATGCTTGTGAAGTGAAGTGACCTTAGTAGTTTTGGCTCTTTCTGGAGTAAATTATGCCATTTTATGATCCTTTTGCTCCCATGCCTAACAAGTTTTTCAGATGTAAATGTACGTACCTTTCAAAAGTTCTTTTTTTCCCCTTGAGACAGTTGCATTCCAGGGGATTCAGTTTGCCATGTACAGTTAAATAAAGATAGTTTCATGTTCAGGAAATGTAGTAAGGATTCAGCCGTAGTCTAGGTGGTTCTTGGAGGAAATGCAGTTCTGTAGGGTTCCCACGTCATTCAGGAGATGGTGCATGTGAGGACACTGATGTTCAGGGTTTTTTAAAAAGATCTTGAAAGAATATAGCTTGCATATTTTGCTGGTGGTTTTTTTTTTAACGACTCGCATAAGACAGTGTGAAGTTCATATTGATAGAGCAGAAAAAAATACAAGGATACAACCCTGGGAGGCCGTAACCATGAAAAGAAAAGGTATACCACCTCCCACACACCGACAACACCAAGCACTCACCCAGGAGAAGGCCTGCACCGGACCGGCCACCGCTAAGCGTGACCGCCCACCGCAAGGCCAACAAAGGAGCTACAACTGGGATCGCCCAAAACAATCCATACAACCGACACAAAACCCCGCTCTATCCACATCTCAGGGATTCAGGGAGAGAGGGTGAGAGAGAAGATGGAACCGCTCTCCCCCCTAGGCCCCCCGACGTGGCCAACTTGTACAAACTAGGACGCTGATACAAGAGGAAGAGACTCTAGAACGAACTTGTAGCAGTTGATTGGGAGGTTTCGACAAGGGTGCTGCCAAGCCAACGTCTCTAGGGAGAGAAGCAACGAAAGAACCGCCGCCGCCGACCGTCGAGGTCAGAAGAACCTCGACTGGGCTTTCGCCCGGCAACACCACTAGAGGAGGTGAGACGGCACGACAACGCCCTCAAGAGGGGAATGACGCTCGCGCGCCACCGTTGCCGGCCCAGCGAGGTCGGGCTGGGTTTTCACCCGCCATCCACCGCCTGCCTATCCACCGTTGACACCCCAATACTCCACCGCCAGCTAAACCTCTGCCGACACGTGGGCATCACTGCACCCGCCCCCCTGCCGACCAGTCTCCGCAAGCCGCCACCGGTCACGCCTTGTCACCTCACGCAGCGTCGTCCTCTACCTCCATCGACCGCGTCGCAACGGCAACCTCGCCGGCCTACCACCAGTACCGCGCCTCCTCGCGCCACGGCCACCTTGCCCGGTCACCACCACTGTCGGCCGCAACTCCCGCCACTGATGTCGTCGGCCACCTGCCGACGCCACCAGCCAGCTGCCGACGTACTGCAACCACCAACCGCCGTCGGGCACTTGCTGCCGCCGCCCGGGCCGTGGGCTCCGCGCTGCCATCGCCGTGAGGTCCGCGCCGCCGTCCCGCAAGCTCCGAACTGCCGCCGCGACAGTCCTCGCTCGATCTGGCCGCCGGGGGGCCAGATCCGCCTCCGGTCGCCGGAACCACCTCCGGCGCTGCTGGATCCGCCACCCTGACACCAATCCATCGCCGTTGCCAGGGGATTTAGATTTGTCCTGAAAACCTTCCGTTTTGCCCACGAGACGGGTAGCTATATAGAATCGGCTCCGCTAGCCGATTTAGTTATCAAAACCCATCTTAGTCTAGTTTTTACTAGATTGAGGTGGTTGGCGACTCTAGGATCACCGCAAGGCATTTAGGTGCTGCGATCGTGCTTGGCAATTTGTCACAAAAAGTTGCCAACACAAGGTAATACGTGTGTGTGTGTGTGAGTTCTAAACCCAGCCAAGCACCCAATCCCAGTCCCGAACTGTCTAGCGAGGCACGGTGGTGACACGCTTGACGGTGGGCCAGTTAAGCATTGGGCTGCTGGTAAAGATAACTAGAACTTACGGCGCGCTTCGCGGCGCCCTAGCGTTCGCTTTGAAAGAAGAAAATAACTAAGGAGAATGGTGGGAGCATATTTTAGTTGAGCTGATAGTGTAGGGTTTGTTTCAGAAGACAGGTTGACAATAAAATGCATATTGGAGCTATAACAGGCAGAGAAACATTAATCAATTGTTCACATATTCGGTAAGCATTGAAAGAATATAGTTGGAAAGACTAAGTGTCACAACATTTACATCATTTACACCGTTTATATTACATATAGTTCTTCTGAAGGTCTTCGTTCCAACATAGGCTAATACAACTTGAATTCTGAAGTTTGTGACCATCACATAACCTGAAATCTTACATCTATGTGACGATAAAAAAAAAAGTGGTTGAATTCTGCGAGATAAAATCAGCTAAGTGTAAATCCAGAAGCCATGAGAACTTATTATGCTTCATAGAGCAATTAACAGCATATATATATAGAAAGAAACTAAATGATCAGCCAAGATACAGGTGTAGAGAAAGAAACATCCCTGCTATTTGCCCGGCTACCATATAGAAGTTCAATTCTTTGATGAACTATAAAATGTCATTGAAATTGGTAAACCACCTGTGATTTCTTCCTCCTGTCAATTAATTTATAGGGAAAGCCTGACAATAAACAAAATAAAAGGATGAGATAATCTAATTCGTGCACCAAGTTCTTATGTCAGTTGATTTGTTATTATGTTGGCAACTATGTAGCGATACCCGCGCTATATTTACAAACATGCATTTGTCATGGAATTCAAAGAAAACTTAAAGCTAACTGGCAATTCTCACATTTCCAAAGATTGATTAAACTCACTTGTCAACGCACAACACTAAAGCATTACTTCATATCAACCAACTCCATGCTCTCCTTCTTGCTAGAATAGTTCATATGAAATCACATATAATTTAGCTAGGTTACTGTAGACGTGTTTGTTAGGACTGTACTTCATATCAATAAGTTAGATGGAGAAAGGAGTAAGTTTCTTTCAACCATCACACATAAAACATAATCTCATTTTATGTTGATTCAATTGGATAAGCATACTTCGCCATTATCTAGGTCACAAAGATTTGAATCTGGGAAACATACACCTATATTTATATAGACTGAATCGCTACCCTGATTTAGTTTGCAGGTGGTGCGATGGCAGCATCATTTTTTCACTAAATAAGAACATGATTAGATAGTATTGGAGTAATCACCAACAAACAGTGGAAAATGAAACTTTGCCAAACACAGATCCAACAGTGATAGAAAATTAGAATAGGAGTTTCCATCATTTGACAAAATTATAGAAGGGCACAAATTTTAATTGCTAGCTAGATAACCTAACAAAATAGCAAGGAATAAATGGTAGAATGATTGAGGACAGAAAACCTGAAGAGATCAAATAGTGTTGCTTGGGCAACGAAGTGAATTCGTCAACCCAAAATCCAATATCTCCTATTCTCTGCACAAACAGAGTTGCAAAATTTCCCTTATGCAGAACTTAGCACGCCACAACCAGTGTCTAACTCTCAAAGCTGCTCAACCAGGCTAGCACCTTGTGAGGTGGGTTTTCAAGCACAACCTAGTACTCAATGCAGCCATTTATTCATGAGATTGAATGAAATGACCAGCATAATTCCAAAGCACTTAGCAAGATAGCAGTTCAGTAGTGTCCAAAATTCAGGGATGAAATGATTCACTAAATGAAGTGGCGATTAATCCAAAGCACCTTACAGTCCAGTAAGGTCCAAGAAGTCCTAATACCAGTTCTGAAAGATAGCTTTTAGATAATGAGTTCTGAAACATAGTTGATCGCTTTAATAATGCAGATACTGCAACTTCAAATGTTGTCTATCATAAAATGGTCGGTACCAAAAAATAAATTCAGTTGTGCACCTCCTGCGGCACAGCCGTGGTGCAGTCTTTGGTCGAATTAGAATGAATTATCAGGTTAGTCAAATCAATTCAAGAACATTTATTCTAGAAAGGTTCATCCAGAAAATGGGCTTAGATAAGCGGTAAAATTTTCTATTCCAAAATTGCGTCAGAAAAGTTGGAAGATTAACAGACAGATATATGAGTAGGGAAAACCAAATCGAAGAGAAGGAAAGGTAAATACCTGCACGACTGCACAATGGACACCATACGCTCGCATCCATCGATCACTCTTATCGATCATGGCACGACTGCTCGGGAAGTGGCTCCTTCGCAGCCGCTGTGGCGGTCATCCCAAGCCTCCTCGCATTGCAGGCAGAACATGCATGACAGCGTAGGAATACAGGGGAAAAGGAGATCTAGCAGCTTAGGCTCAAGAACTGATGGCTTACATGGGATTCTTCGTAATCAGCATTGGAGCTTAGCACTGATGGCTCATGCCCTTCCAATGGAAGCGTCGGCGGTCCATGGGTACCAGAGCTCGACGGTCGTAGGCGTCGCCGCCGCAGGTCCATGAACCATCTCCCGCCTCCATCGCCACTCCAGCTAGGCTATCACCACCAACTACGGCGGCGCAATGGTAGAGTCACCTCCCCAGGTAGAGAGAAATAGGGGAAAAAGAGAAAACAATAAGAACGGAGGCGGCGACTGGTTCGTGAGTCTAGGAGGCGTGGGTTCTCTCTCCTTTGCTTGACTCGGAAGAGGGTGAAGGGGAGAGGGGTGGGCAGGAGATGGGGGACGGCGGGGAGACCGCGAGGGGAAGCCGTCGGCGGCGAGGAGAAGTAGGGGAAGGGAAGACGATGTGGCGCCGTCGCTCAAGGGAGGGGAGAGAGCGAGAGAACGGTGGGGAACAGTGGCGGCTAGGGTTTCTGGGAAGGGAGGGGATAATAGTGGTTTCTTTTTCATAAAACCCCCTTACTTTCTCTTTTTCAGAGCGCGATCCTATATTTAGAATTTCGCCTCCTTCACATAGAATATATCAGGATGTCGAGGGCCTTTACGTAAGAATACACAACACACAACCTCTATTACCAAATAAATAGAGGATTTTTTTGCAAAAACGCCACTTCCAGCTCCAGGCGACGTGGACATCACGGGAAGCGAACACGCCAGCCAAAAAACCAGAATCGAAAACGCCACTTCCAGCGCCGGGTGACATGGACATCATGGGAAGCGAACACGCCAGCCAAAAAACCGCAGAATCGCTGTGGTGCGAGCATTCTACGGTCCTCTTTAATCTCTCCGATGCTGGTGGTTGCATTGAGCCTGTGTTTATATGTTCTGGTTTTGTTTATTTATAGTGGTCATATGATTGCTGTGCTATGCAGGATGAATCAGGTTCGCTGACTTCGCATGACCCATCCATCAGGTGTTTATTGGAGATCTTGCATTTGGTGTTGCTCGCTTTGTATACATGCAAGTGTTACAATGTAGGCTTTATTGTAAAATAGCATTGGTGGCACCTACTGTATTCTGAAAGGAGAAGAATAGTCAGGCTTTCAGCATTGATCACCTCCATACAAAAGAATTTCACATTTGCGATCATTAGCTATTTAGCTGTGCCATTCCAGAGCCTGAATGATGCAAATGTTAGAATCAGCTGGCAAAAACTTGGCAAGTAACAACAGGATTTATTATTTTGAGCAGTTATTTCGAAACCCAGCCTGCACCTTGTCTGCAAATTCTTTTGCTCCCATTGGCATTTTAGAATTAGATCACTTCGTACAAAATCTTAAACTATTATGTAACACTTGCACATTGTGAGTATCCTAAGAAGATGAGTCTTTGCACATTGTGATGCATCGTAGCAGAGGAATGCATTTTACCTTCATCATCATGATTCCAACTGGTGCTCCGAGTTCTCCAGCCTTAGCGAATAATGACCTCCCAACCTCATTTGTCATCCATAATTTTAAGGCATTTTGTGTTCTGACTTGTGAAGTCTAAATCATTTACGATAATCAACATTCAAGAGCACATGAAGTTTATATAGCACAGCTACCCCTACAAACCTTTTAACTTGACGGCCATAAGCTGGGGTTGAACCGGACAGACGATACTTTTCCTAGTGAGAAACAAAGGAATCATACATCAGAATGTAGGTTGAACCAGTTTTTAGGTTTGGGATAGTTCCAAGGTATGTACCTATATAATTAGATGTTCAAGCTGTTTAATGCCGCTTCCATCATCTGCAGGATTAGCAAGACAGCAGCCAATGAATTTGGATGGGCATTTCTTCAACACACTACAACAAAAACAAAATCAACAAATATTTGTTTACTTAAACACCGTGGGAATGCTGGAAAGTTAGGGGTGCCACCTTAGATGTCACTTTTGCAAAAAGGCCCCTGCATTTCTGTTAATTACGCATTGGTCCCCGCTGATATCCACCATAAACCGTTGGATCTCGATATAGGGTAGATCTGGCCGTACACGTGTCCAACTGTGCCGACCCTTCCGCAACCGTGAAATCGTTGGATCTGGAACGGACGGTGTGGATTTCGCCGGCCTGCACCAAACCCTAGCCCCGTCGCCCCCCACCCTCGCACGCGCACTCGCCCTCCTCCCTCTGCGCGCCGCCACGCTCTCCTCCTCGGCTCCTCCCCTCACATGCGCTGTCGCCGCCGCCGCCTTGCTGTCCTCCTGCCCTCACGCGCCTCTCCTCGCCATCCTCCTCCACTTGCACGCATCGTTGCCATCGCAGACTCGCCATCTTCCTCCACTCGCGCACGTCGTCGTCATCGCAATCTCGCCCTCCTCCAGCCATCGTCGCCGACCCACCGCTGCCTCTCCCTCCCAGTGAGGTCTAGAGGTCAGGTCCGCCAGATCCGCCGCGCCGCCGCTCGCGTGTTCTCTGTCCGCTGGCGTTTGACATGTTGGTTTTGCATCATCGATCTGCTGCAGCTGTGAAAGGTCGACGCCATCAGTCAAGGTGTCGCTCCCCTCCCTCCTGTTCTAATTCCTGTCCTTGCGCCGACCAGCCGACCATTAGCACAGAGGCCGCAATGTAAGTCCGTTCTACCTCATCATTGATTATTTCCCATGCATTCACTTGAGGTTTTATAGGATCCACCATCTTGCCTTGGTCCCATTGAGTTACTCATGGGTTAGGATGTATAGCAGATTAAGGAGAGGATTGGCTTCCATTGCTGCTGTTTGCATCCGCTTTCAGGTTAAGCCATCCATTAAGTTTTATCCTCGTTGTTATGGCTGCTTGCAAGGCTGCAAGATTCAGATGATGTCCTCACTGTTAAGGATGGCCGCAGCTCTGCAATATTCAAATGGTAACATTCTTGCTAAAATTGCCACAAATGATGAGATAAACTGAAATCCAATTATTTCCTTTAATTTTAATTGCATTCGCTATGGTGCAATGTGGTAAGAAATCCATGCACTATAGCAATGAAGCCTGTTGGGGTCATGTATGTATGGTCTTCTCAGTTGTCGTATTTAACGATTGCTGCTTATTCTTGTTATAACCAAAACCTCGAGAGATAGATCATGATCAAATGATGACATCGCCACCCATCATCGTACTAACGCAATGTATAGTTACGAATTTATGGGTAAAATAATGATAAATGGGAATATGACAGCACCCCTTTGTGCAGGATCTTTGAGCTATGGATGCTAAACGATAAAGGTGGCTCACATTGAACTACAACTGCTAAAGGCTTAAAGGCTAAAGGTATGGATCTTTTAAATAGAAAATGCAGAAGGAGCCTTCCCCTGCTGTTTTCGAGGGAAAAAAAAAGGCTAAAGGTGTGAATAGAACATAAAAAACTGAACCAATCAAATGACAATTTCTGGTCTGTTGACTATTCAGTATTGCATGAGGTTTCTATTTGTGAATTAGACATGTTCATAATCAAATTGAACTACAAGAAAAAAAACTGAGATAATTTTATTAAGTACACATTTGGTATGCCTGAAATTTCTGATATAATCAAATTTAATCGTCATTAATAACAATTTATTTGGTTAAATTTGACATTACTTTGCATTAATACAAATATAAAATGATATACATAACTCAAAATAAGAAATCAAAGAAATGTGGGGTAAAATAAGATATATCTATATCTATACTAATATAAAAAAGAGTTGCCCCTCTCCAATCCTACCGGCCAAATCATCCGGATCAATCTCTACTGTCCATCTGCCCTCTCATGTAATCTCATCCGTCCAGTTATTCCACCGATTTCGCCCCCATGTGGACACGGTGACTCCGCCGGGCAAAACCCCGCTGCGATGACTCCGCCGCGCGTGTCCTCTCTCGCTTGTCGCGATCGATGGACCAGCGCACCGCCGCAACGCCGGACCAACGCCGACCACCACCGCACCCGTGCCCACCGACGGACCAGCGCCGCCGCTGTTACGCCTCTACCGCCAGACCACCGCACACCAATGCATCCCTCATCCGCAGGAGCCCCGCCCGGGACTGCCCCCGACGGCGCCGCGGTGGTTCCCCCTACTGCCGGAGCCGCTGCGGCGCTCAACCAGCGCCGACGGACCACCATAGCGCCGGAGCTCCCTCATCCTCGCGACGGACCAGCGTTGCCGCTGCTGCGCCTCCACCGCCGGACCATCGCGCACCACCGCATCCCCCTTCCGCCGGAGCGGAGCCACGCACGGGACTACCCCCGACAACGCCGCGGTTGTTCCCCCTACTGCCGGAGCCGCTGCGGCGCTCGACTAGCGACGCCGGACCAGCGCACCGCCGGACTAGCACCGACGGACCACTGCAGCGCCAAGCCACCACCGCGGTCCCATGTTCCGCTAATTCCCATCTCGGGGGTTTTCGTGTTCGCCTCGCCTTGCCCTGGCTCACTTCGGGGCGGAGGTGGCGTCGCTGTCCCCGATCGAATTCTGCCGATGCGCCCCTGGCTTTCAAGATCTAAGTGCATGCGCGCCCTCGCCGCATGCCGCCCGGCGCTCCGGCAGTCCGGGTGGCCGGACGCGATCGGCTCCGAGGTATGTTGCCCATGCGCGCGCTTGCTCTCCTTTGCGATGGTTTTGGTTTGGCCACCGTTTGATTGAGAGGAGTTCTGGGAGGTACGCGTTGTCGTAATTTGGGGGTTCCGTTGCTTGCGATGGGGAATGCTCAATGATCTGCTTGTGCAGTTTGGTTTGGTGGCTGCTGTTCTCATACGAACATTATATTCTACATTTAGTATCTGTTTGTGCCATCCTCTTATGATATGAGCAGGTTGTGTTGTTGGCATTGGAGTGTTTAGGTTGATAATGGTCCTATTTGGAAGACATATGGATTGCTGCTTTATTAGCTGATAAAAATGTTGTTTTAAATGATCTTTTGCGATTTATGTGGGTTGAGATGATTCTACAGGTGGTTTTGATCATACACAGATTTGCCTAATATTGGAACTTCATCGAAGAGTAGTTGGGTTTTCCTGGCTGAGGAGTATTAGTTGATTGGTGAACTAAAATGCAGAAGGAATCATTCAGGAATAAATGTTGCATCTTATCATTGGAAACTGTTATAAAAAATAGTGTCTTCAACAACTTAATTTGTCATAGAGAGAAAGATTGTAGGCAAATTCAGGTTTTCCGTCATACCTCCATCTCCTCACGATTCACGTGATTAGCGAGTTGCCATGGATGAGCCAGCAAGACGTGCATGCAATCATCAGAAACGGCATCGCAACAGCACAGCACCAAGCACATGCCTATTCGCCAGACCAGATCTATCATCGCATAAAACCAAGCATATAACCAACAACACGGGATAATGTAAGCTCACTAAATAAATGATTAACTGTTCAATAGATCCTAAACCCAAAATGAAACAGGGTAATCACCAAACATATAAGGGTGGATCCCACAATGATGTTATGATGCATCCCCTCGACGAGCGACGCCGCACAAATAATCTCTGCCTGCAAAAGCAACTAAAGCACAACGCTCCTGCAGGCCATCCTGAGACTAAATCAAATACAACAATTTATGAGCAATAATAATTATCGATATTTGATCTGAGCCTTTGAACAATGAACAAAGACCTTTACTTTTTCATCCTACCTAAATGCATATTCCAATTCTCATCCTAATTAAATTTACCATTTAACACTATGGGTTAACTAATAAAAATACATGAATTTTTTTCTATTTTCCCAGTGGCTATAAGAGCCACGACAAAACAATATGAAATTATAACCACCAGCAAGAGCCCCTGCGTCGCTCTCCCCCAGAGGCGACTCGGGTGGCGAACCTAGCCGCCCCCTCCTCCCCCCGACCACCTTCCTCCTCCGCCTCGCCGCCACCACAAGGACAGCGGCGGCGGGGCTTCACGCCTCTTCCTACGCTGGCGGCCAAGGGAACCTCCGGTGGGTGGCGATGGCGACCGCCAGATCCGCCCCGCCGTGGCCGGATCTGGCGGGGTGGCGGCTGACGGCGGGGGTGGAGACGGCGATGGTAGGGGCGAGGGGGTGTGGGCGACGGTGGTCGGAATGGCGACGATGGAGGCGGCGGCGGGGATGGCGACGACGGTGGGGTTGGCAACGGCGATGGATTGGCGTCAGGGTGGCGGATCCGGCAGCGCCGGAGGTGGTTCCGGCGACCGGAGGCGGATCTGGCCCCCCGGCGGCCAGATCGAGCGAGGACTGTCGCGGCGGCAGTTCGGAGCTTGCGGGACGGCGGCGCGGACCTCACGGCGATGGCAGCGCGGAGCCCACGGCCCGGGCGGCGGCAGCAAGTGCCCGACGGCGGTTGGTGGTTGCAGTACGTCGGCAGCTGGCTGGTGGCGTCGGCAGGTGGCCGACGACATCAGTGGCGGGAGTTGCGGCCGGCAGTGGTGGTGACCGGGCAAGGTGGCCGTGGCGCGAGGAGGCGCGGTACTGGTGGTAGGCCGGCGAGGTTGCCGTTGCGACGCGGTCGATGGAGGTAGAGGACGACGCTGCGTGAGGTGACAAGGCGTGACCGGTGGCGGCTTGCGGAGACTGGTCGGCAGGGGGGCGGGTGCAGTGATGCCCACGTGTCGGCAGAGGTTTAGCTGGCGGTGGAGTATTGGGGTGTCAACGGTGGATAGGCAGGCGGTGGATGGCGGGTGAAAACCCAGCCCGACCTCGCTGGGCCGGCAACGGTGGCGCGCGAGCGTCATTCCCCTCTTGAGGGCGTTGTCGTGCCGTCTCACCTCCTCTAGTGGTGTTGCCGGGCGAAAGCCCAGTCGAGGTTCTTCTGACCTCGACGGTCGGCGGCGGCGGTTCTTTCGTTGCTTCTCTCCCTAGAGACGTTGGCTTGGCAGCACCCTTGTCGAAACCTCCCAATCAACTGCTACAAGTTCGTTCTAGAGTCTCTTCCTCTTGTATCAGCGTCCTAGTTTGTACAAGTTGGCCACGTCGGGGGGCCTAGGGGGGAGAGCGGTTCCATCTTCTCTCTCACCCTCTCTCCCTGAATCCCTGAGATGTGGATAGAGCGGGGTTTTGTGTCGGTTGTATAGATTGTTTTGGGCGATCCCAGTTGTAGCTCCTTTGTTGGCCTTGCGGTGGGCGGTCACGCTTAGCGGTGGCCGGTCCGGTGCAGGCCTTCTCCTGGGTGAGTGCTTGGTGTTGTCGGTGTGTGGGAGGTGGTATACCTTTTCTTTTCATGGTTACGGCCTCCCAGGGTTGTATCCTTGTATTTTTTTCTGCTCTATCAATATGAACTTCACACTGTCTTATGCGAGTCGTTAAAAAAAAAACCACCAGCAAAATATGCAAGCTATATTCTTTCAAGATCTTTTTAAAAAACCCTGAACATCAGTGTCCTCACATGCACCATCTCCTGAATGACGTGGGAACCCTACAGAACTGCATTTCCTCCAAGAACCACCTAGACTACGGCTGAATCCTTACTACATTTCCTGAACATGAAACTATCTTTATTTAACTGTACATGGCAAACTGAATCCCCTGGAATGCAACTGTCTCAAGGGGAAAAAAAGAACTTTTGAAAGGTACGTACATTTACATCTGAAAAACTTGTTAGGCATGGGAGCAAAAGGATCATAAAATGGCATAATTTACTCCAGAAAGAGCCAAAACTACTAAGGTCACTTCACTTCACAAGCATCGAAGGCCCAAGTTGATTTGGAGTACCATACAAAACTACTATAAATTCAAGACCTAGCCTTAATCATCGTACATACTCAGCAACATAAAAAGCTGTAATATATAAAGTAAGAAGAATATAACAATAAAGCCTATGCCATGGCTAAAAACAAAATCTAATCTCAGTGCCTGACAAGCTGTAATAAATATGCCCATGATATAGAGAAATAGCAGCCATAGAAGACGATATCATTCATAAGGGCACCTATAAACCATGACCCACACAGGAAATGCCTCTAAACATATTAATTAATCGTAGGATGAAGCGATAGAGGGACCTACAGCAGCACAACGAAAATCCGTTCTGACATGATATTTGTAAAGACCAGAAAAATCAATTAACCAATGAAAATGACTATTTCCCTTTGAGAAGCCTAAATAAGTTATAAGAAACCCTGTACCTCTCATGCCATCCAGTAGCTAATAAAAGAACCACGCATGTATACAAAGCGAGCAACACCAAATGCAAGATCTCCAACAAACACCTGATGGATGGGTCATGCGAAGTCAGCGAACCTGATTCATCCTGCATAGCACAGCAATCATATGACCACTATAAATAAACAAAACCAGAACATATAAACACAGGTTCAATGCAACCACCAGCATTATCTTTACCAGCAGCCCCATGCTTAACTGGCCCACCGTCAAGCGTGACACCACCGTGCCTCGCTAGACAGTTCGGGACTGGGATTGGGTGCTTGGCTGGGTTTAGAACTCACACACACACACACACACACGCATTACCTTGTATTGGCAACTTTTTGTGACAAATTACCAAGCACGATCGCAGCACCTAAATGCCTTGCGGTGATCCTAGAGTCGCCAACCACCTCAATCTAGCAAAAACTAGACTAAGATGGGTTTTGATAACTAAATCGGCTAGCGGAGCCGATTCTATATAGCTACCCGTCTCGTGGGCAAAACGGAAGGTATTCAGGACAAACCTACAAAGAGGTGCCGCACTCTCGCAGCGGCGGCGGACGATTTACGGCGCAAATCGACAAAGATAGACAAACTAAGAGTAAACTAAAAGCAATATGAAAAACGATTCGATTGATTGATTGTAGATTGATCTTTACAATGAACCGGCCTTACTCCCTTATATAGGGGTTGGTCTTGCCCTCTACAGGCTCTCCTCCATGTCCAATTCGGGATAGAATCCAAAGGAAACCCGAAACATGTCTTCCCGAGCAAGGAAACTTCGAGACCCGGCGAAACAGACCCGGACTCGGACTCTGCCGGTCAGACTGGCTACATACCGCCGGTCAGACCAGCCACATACCGCCCGGTCTGACTGGCCGACAAACGGCGGTCAGACCAGCCCACTCTGGAGGAAACCGGCAGAACTTCAAACTTTGGCAATTTTTCCTATTTCGATCCTAGGTGCCAAATTTAGGTGTAAACACCTTGAGCCCTTGAGCGGTTGATTGAAGATTGGAAGGCCTAAAGTACGGGCTCCTCAGCAAGCATCGGCTCGCGGTCACTATTTGACGAGGCAATACAGATCAATAGGGAGTGGGGATGGAAAGAGAATCGCTAGAAACAACGGTGACTGGAGGAAGCATACCGGTGCATGAAACTTCATCCTCCTCAGCGCCACCCAATCTGTCACCGCCGAGCCCAGTGCCACTAAATCAAGCGACCAGGAGCTCGCCATCAACCGATCCGATGACCGAAATCTCATTCTCGTCCAAATCCGGTCAGCAACCAGTTGAAGCGGGCGAGGTCGAGGTCATTACCATCGTCGCTGTGGTGGTCGAGGTCGTCGTTGTTGCCACCGCCGTGGTCGAGGTCATCGTTGCCACCAGTCATCGCCGCCGCCACAATAGTTGAGATCATTGCCGCCGCATTCTTCTTCTTCCATGCCGGTGGTCGCAGCCGGGGAAAAGGAGAGGAGCGCTCGCCTCCTCACTTTCTCCGCGTCCACCGGCGAAGCCCGCGCTCGGCGAGGGCGAAGGCGCGAGAGGGAGGTGGAGACGGCAAGGCGACAGTGGCAGCACCGGCGGCTGTCACATCCTGATTTTTGTTTCAGGATTTATAAATTATTTAATAAATTATTATTTGAATTTATATCAAATGATCTTTAATTTACAAGTGAAGTTAAATGTGGGAAATAAAATTTCCTAAATATAAAGCATGGATGGATTTAATTTTTATTAAATTCCCCATGATTAAGTCAACTCTCTGAGATTTTCTCGGATTTTTCAGAGCTCAATTCCTTAAATGATACAAAGAACAGTTCAGTAATTATTTGATCAATAATGATCTAATTATATTTGTTAAGAGTTTTTTTTTGTTTAAAAATCCTTAAATTATAAATTGTTGTTTAAAAGGAATAATTAGAAATGATCTTAAAAGCTTAAAAGAGAAGATCTAATTTTAATTTGTTAAATCTCAACATAAAATTGGGCTAGATAAAATTTTGTTAAATACTTTGCTTAATTCTATAATTCCTAGATTTTTCTGGGATTTATTTGAGCTAAGGAAGTATTTTTAATAAATGGAATTGCATTTCATGAATAATTTAAATTGAAAAAGGTTTTTAAATGTCTTCTTTTGGCTTTGGGCCGAAAGTCGGCCCAAAACCCCTCTCTTTCTCTCTCTCCCCGGCCCAGTCAGCCCAGTCCGAGCCGCCGCTCTCCTCTCTCTCTCTCGATGTCGCTGACAGGTGGGCCCCACCTGTCAGGGTTGTCGTCAACCTCCAGCCGCCGCCGCCCGAAACCCTAGCCGAGCCGCGTCCGAGCCGCCGCCGTCTCCTTCCAAATCCGGTCGATTCTTTCCTTCTCCGGTGAAATCTTTTGAGGGGAAATGATCTTCTCGATCTCCTCTTCCTTTTCTCTTTTGGAATCATCGTCTTAATCGCTTTGGAAGTTCATGGATTCGAGGTCGAATCGGATCGGTTTCTTTCCTCCGAACCCCAAGCTTTCCATCCCGCCGCCGGTCGCCGTGGGCCTTTGCCGCCGCCTTCCAACCCCTTTAAAAGGACCCCCGGTGTCTCCTCTACCCGCCGCCTCCCTCGCCTTCGTCTCTCGCCGTCGGAAGCGCCCTAGCGCCGTGTGACCTACCGCCGCCGTCGTCGCCGCCGCTCCAGCCGTGCGCCGCCGCCGTTCCGGTCGTCGTCGTCGCTCGGGGAGGTCGCCATCGTGGTCGCCAAGTCGCCGCCGTCCCCGTCCACCCCTTCGCCGTCGCCGAAGACCGCCAGAGCACCGTCGCCGCCGTCGACCCGATCTTCGCCGCCGCTTCTTCCTCGTCGCCGGCGCCGTCCGTTGCTTTTCCGCCGTGGTTTTGGTCACCGGTGAGTTCGTCGCGTCGCCTTCTACCCGTTGGTGCCTTCCGTTTGCGTCGTCGTGCCGTCGTTCGCCGGCGAGCATGCGCCGCCCGAGCTGCCGAGCCGCCAAGCCGCCGCCGGTGCTGACGTCATCGCTGACGTCACCGCTGACGTCATCGTCGTCGTTCATCCGTGAGCCGCGGTGGATCCGTTCGATCTCGGCCGTCCGTTTTGGATATGATCGATCTCGGCCGTCCGTTCCCGTGAACCGTTGCCGTGCGCCCGGTACACCGCAAACCCTAGCCGCTGACGCAATAATTCTCTTTTCCTTTTCAAAAATAATTCATTATTGCGTCATAATTCAATTAAAATCCATATAAGTGTTTTAATCCGATTTAATCTTTAAAAATTCATAACTAATTCATTGTAACTCAGTTTAATGTGGTTCAAGTTGCAAAAATTGTATAAAATAAAGATCTACATATTAAAATTGTCCATGAATTGAATTAAATTTATTTAATTCTTTTTAAATGGGCTTTAATTAGATTTAATCTTATAAAATTCATAATAAATTCTTTTGAAGTCAGAATGAGGCCGTTCAAGTCTCATAATTCATCTAAAATTATGATCTACATGTTTGTTTACTTTTTATGTATTGTTTATTTGGTTTTTATTAGTCTTTTTCTTCGTTTTGCGTGTTAGCTTGTCGTTTTCGTCGTTGCGAAGGTTCGCGAGTGCGCCGGAAGTATTCAAGAAGATTAATTGAAGACCGATTATTGCAAGGCAAGTCACACAGATCCTAAACACAATCCTTTGAGCATGTTGATCCTATATTTAAAATTCTCTATTTATTTCAACTATGCATTTATTTTAGAATGTCACCGGGTGGTGTGAACTTATTCCTTTGTTATGGCCAATTTGCATTGATTACTTTATTTCTTGATACCTTGGGTTATTATAACTTGACTAGTTGAGCTTTATATATTGGTTCAGCTAGATATTAGATATGATTGCTTAGCCATGCTTAGAAACATTAGCACACTATTGGGATAACTTATGACTCACTATTATTTAATGATGGCTTAATGATAGTTCACGATGGTCAATCGTGATTGGTTAATTAATTACTTGCCAACTAAAACTTGATAATGGTGGGTTGTGAGCACATGGTTTTGAGAGTCGTGCTCATGGCAATTAAGGACCGGTTCGCGAGCTACTGTTGTGAAACATTAACCGTGCCAACCACAAGCCAGCGTGGGCAACGGCTTTACCTTTTGTATAACATGATTCATTGCGGAGCACCAGACTGAGAAGTGGCGGAGATAAGCCCACGGGGGTCGCTGGGGAGTCCATGCCTTGTTTTATAAGGGGGTGATTATGATCCAGGAATGGTGCACTGTGGTGAGTTGTGTTGTGCAGAGGGTATTGTTACAGCCTCTATTCGGGTACTTTCCAGTATCGCGACGCATGGTAGACATGATGTTGAGGCTGTGTCTTGTGGGTACAGTGGTACACCTCTGGCCAGAGTAAAACTATTCGAATAGCCGTGCCCGCGGTTATGGGCGGGTTGAGCAATGTTTTTCGTGATTAGTCTCACACCTCTCACAATAATTATGGATGCTATAACTGGTAATAATTTGTTTAGCTCCTGGTTTGGAGTTAGATCTGTACAGCCGGGTATGGTTGTTCAGGATGGTTGGGCCTGTACAGCATGGGTGTGCTGTTCAGTGTTGATTAAAATTTCTGATTAATTACTCTTAACTCTTAACCAGGAGCTCGCCATCAACCGATCCGATGACCGAAATCTCATTCTCGTCCAAATCCGGTCAGCAACCAGTTGAAGCGGGTGAGGTCGAGGTCATTACCATCGTCGCTGTGGTGGTCGAGGTCGTCGTTGTTGCCACCGCCGTGGTCGAGGTCATCGTTGCCACCAGTCATCGCCGCCGCCACAATGGTTGAGATCATTGCCGCCGCGTTCTTCTTCTTCCATGCCGGTGGTCGCAGCCGGGGAAAAGGAGAGGAGCGCTCGCCTCCTCACTTTCTCCGCGTCCGCCGGCGAAACCCGCGCTCGGCGAGGGCGACGGCGCAAGAGGGAGGTGGAGACGGCAAGGCGACAGCGGCAGCACCGGCGGCGGAGGTGTAGGCGGCGACGCGAGGGGAAGGCAGAGGCGGTGCGAGGTGACGGGGACGACGCGAGGCGGAGGCGGGGCCCGTCAGCGGCGGCAGGAGAGGGACAGGGTTGGGGGGCGAGTAGGAGGAGGGGAGACGGGCGGCGGTGGCTAACATGAAATATTTTTTAAAAAAAATTAAAGACAAATAGAGTTGTACCGTAGTGTTTAGCATGGGCATATTACTAGTAGGACTGTAGTGGGTGAATTATAGGGCAGAAGATAGATTGGATCTACATGTCATTTGACTGAGGGAGGTCAAGTGTACCTTCTCGTTCGGCGGGACATTTGACGCCGTCGTAGGCCGGCCCATAATTTACCAGTGTGGGCCAAGCTCATTCTAAGAGAGGCCCACGGACAGAAGCAGAAATGCGGGAACCCTAAAAGGAAGGGGAAGCCGGAGCCCCCATCCCAATCTCGATTCGCCACTCCCATCCCCGCCGGCCGCCGCTGGCCCCTTTCCCCTTCTCCGACCGGACCGCGCTCCTCAGGTCAGCAGCTGTGCATCTGCTGCACCTTGATATCATGTTTGATCGAAAGCCGATTCCTTTTATTTCGTTTAATCTTTGCATATATATTGTTTTCTCGGTGATGTTTGTTAGGTTTTCGTGATTTCATCTTTGCATTTGAAGGTCTGAACACTCTTTGATAGATCCATCGCAGGGCAGGGCAGGACGCGCAATCCACTGCGGTCGCATCTGTTTGCTGGAGGTACTCTTCCTTCCTTGCTCGTATCTGCTAGATTTAGGGTCGCTAGTTTTTTTTGTCTTTGTCTTTTAACTAAAAACTAAGATTCCCCTTTCTTCTCTGTTTCTAATTTACCCCTTGATTTTCTCCCCCTCCCTCCCTGGCATGGCAGACCCAAACTTTTAGGCGTCGAGACTCCATCCCAGTCTGACTTCCTGCTCCGACCGCGCGCCTCAAGGTTAATCGCTTGTTTACTTGTGCTTCGACTTCATCCTGTATGATCGAAAGTCAGTTTCCTTTTCTTCTGCTTACATTTGCTATCTGCGTTATTCATTAGGAAGCTTTATCTCGGCTCGGCTGGCTACATCTTCTGTTTGCTGCTGCTGCTTATTGGAGGTACTCTTCCTTCCTTCATCCTAACTCCTGCAAACAATACACCCTTTCTTGTACTACCTCTTATCTGCAACTAATTTCCCATTCTCTTTTTCATCCTTTGACGGCCCGGTCGCTTCAGCTGGAACTTGGGAGTTGCTGATCGACTCTGAAGATGGGCCTGTCGCGTCGGGCTAAGAATCTCATCGTCGACGTCCCCTTCCAAGGCGCCAAATGGCTACGCTGCGTCGATCTGGCAGGCCAGCTGTTCGGTAACACCGCTACACCACCACCACCAACAACAATCGCACATGGATCAGAGTCAGCAGCTGTGCAAGAAGACTACACCTCTCAGACACTGGTGTCCGACTCCTGTAATCCCAAGAAGAAGGCAGCAGGCTTAAAGATGGAGAGGATTCGGCTTCCCAGACCCATCCTCAAGTTCCGACCTGCTCTAAACGAGGCATGTAGGATTGATTGCTTCCCTTTTGTGGATCACAAGATGTTCTGGGTGGATCACTTGGGGCGCCCTTTCCTCTTTGAAGCAGAGACACGGCTGATGGACATGTTGCCCTGTCTCCACAAGCCCAAGTCGATGCCCTTTTCTGTGTTTGTACCCAACGCCGATGCTGACAATGACTATGAACACCACCGCCCTGGCAGCAGTCTTTTTGTTATGGAGAGGATTCCCAAGCCAGAGGTCAACTCAAGCACACAGTGGAGCGATCAGTTTGAGGCCTTTGTCTACTGCAAGCACAAGCGGACATCGACCAACTTCTCCAAGACCTGGCAGTGGCAACTCCTCCCGCCGCCGCCGTACGTTCGTGAACCTAAGTACTGGCACAGCTGCAGCCGCCCAGAGATCAGCTCCTACACATCGCTCACCGTCAATGGTGACCCCCACATTTGCATCTCCATCGATGGTGTTGGCACCTACTGCCTGAACACGGCAAGCCACACATGGATAAAAGTCGGTAATTGGACCCTACCCTTCCATGGCAGGGTTGAGTATGTGCCTGAGTTCAACCTCTGGTTTGGCTTCAGCTCCGATGAGTCACCGCACTACTTGGCTGCTTCTAACCTCTCTGCCATGGACTCCCAGCCACAGTTAGTGGGTCGTTGGGAGGAGCTTTACCTGCCAGAGGATTTGAAGGAATGCAAAAACCCTCAACTTGTCAACCTCGGCTCTGGCAGGTTCTGCATCACAAGGTTCTTCCACTCTAGGAGTCACAACAGTGACTCTCGGGGTGATGTTGACCAGAATGTTGCTGTCTTTACCGGTGTGGAGGTGAAGCCATGTTTCCAGGATGCCAATGGCGGCAGTGGGAAAGTGGAACTCCAAATGATCCCACACAAATCATTATTTCACAAGTCTAATCACACTACCATCGATGCTGTGTTCTGAACATTTTTGACGCACTATTTTGAAAACTCCCTGTTTTATTGCTATAATTTTGGTTGTTACTTCTGGGTCTGAAAAATATATAATTTTGGTCGTTGGCAGTGTAGGAGGTAACTCAGCGTCTTCGTCTAATATGTAGTGTAGTGTTGTATCCGAAGTTATGTCGCCTTCTCTTGGGCTTATTTGGAGAGCTACTCCTTGTTTACATTAAGCAGCATCGTAAACTGTTAAGCGATCTATTTTTTAAGAAAACTTTATATTTAGAAATTTCTTTAAATAATCAAATAGATCTCATTTTCATCTTTTTGTGTTTGCAATAGCTAATACTTAATTAATTATGTGCTAATGCTAATGATCTTTCTTGTTTTGGCGTCTGGCTTATGAAGTTATGAGCTTACTCTAAACTTCAATTCAAGCTGAGCTTAAAATTAACTCCTTGATTTGTTCATAACTTTGATATGATCTATGTTTTGGATCCGTGCTTGTCATTTAGCCTGGGGATCAGTCTTAACTGTTGTCATGTTCTGTTACCATTTGTTTGGTACAATATCTTCATCGAAAATGTATTATGGCCTGTTTAGTTCCCACAAAAAAATTTACACACTGCCACATCGAACGTTTGAACACATACCTAAAGTATTAAATATAAGCTAAAAAATTAACTAATTACACAGATTGCGACTAATTTACGAGATGAATCTTTGACTAATTGCTTCATGAATTGACAATGTAGTGTTATAGTAAATATGTTAAGTGACAGATTTTGTAATTAGTTTTTGGGGCAATTGTATCCATGCCCCCACTTTTAAATCCAATTGTTGTTTTACCCATATTTTTTTTAGGATTTGCAGTTTTACCTCTATGTTTTGAAATTGAACCAGCCGGCTACCCCAGTCCTAACAGCCAGTTTGATGGTGTTAGTTGTAAAGTAAAGGGACACTTATACCCTTGGTGGTTATTGCATTTTTGCCCGCATTTTTACCCCTTTTTTTTTCAGTTTGTGTGATTTTGCCTCTATTTTCGCTTGCCTCGTCGCCTGCCTGGGAGCAGCCGCCGCCTGGCTACCATCGGAGCGGCGCGTCTGCCAGCCCACCCGCCCTCACCGCCGCGTGGAAGCCTCGTGGTCGTCACTGCTGCCGCGCACACGCTCTCGCGGCCGCTGTCAGCAAACCCTCGCCGCAGCCGCCTGCACACCCTAGCCGCGGCCACCCGCACGCCCTCACCGCGGCCACCACCGCCGCATGCCCGCCCTTGCCACGGCTGCCGCCGCCGCGTGCACGCCCTTGCCACGGCTGCCGCCAGCAGCCGTCCGCAGTCCCTCTGTAACAGCCCTAAAATTGACAACTTTTTAAAATTGATTTAGAAATTGACAACTTTTTAAAATTGATTTAGCTTGCTTTGGTTCACTAAAAATATAACTGTCGAGTTAGACATTTATTTAAAATATTATTTTCCCATGTTTATTTTTGATGTTTCTTTTCTGGTTTAATTTTGTTGCAAAGTGCATCTTACCTTTCAAATAATTCCTTTGAATCCAAATTAAATTCTATCCCAAATGTCGGGCCATCTAAATTCCACACCAATTCAAATCCTATTTATTTTAATTTCCCCAATATTTTCTTTTTCTCTATTTTTACCTTAATTCTCTTTTTCCATATATTTTTTTCTTTCTTTTCTATTATTTCTTTTTTTTTCTTTTCTCTCTCTCTTCTTTTCCTTCTTCTTCTCTTCTCGGCTAGGCCGAGCCCAGCTTGTGCTGCCTCGCACCAAACCCGTGCCGCCTTGCGCCCAGCTCGTGCCAGCCCACGCATGCCACACGCTCGCATGCGCACGCACGAGGCCGATCGACCGACGAATGCCCGGACGACACCTCCAGCTTCCCGCCTCCATAACTCCTTCGTTCTTCCACTAGAAGGCTCAACACCGGAGGCAAAAGGACCGCAATTTCGACCTCTTTCACCTCCTCAAATCCGCCCCCAACTCCCGCTGACTCAATCGTCGTCACCGGAGGAAAAAATCCCCGAAACCCTAGTCCGGCGCCATTCACAGGAGCTCCAAAATTCGTCGTATACGTCGCTAATCCTCTGAAATTTAAGGTAAAAATGGATTCTTCATGCCAAGTACTCCCTTTCCCCTCTCTTTCCCCATCCAATCCGTCCCCAGAACGTCGCCGGGGCCGCCTCCTGCCGTCACTGCTCTGTTCGGCCGCCGCCGGCTGCACGGCGCGCCGTCGCTCCAGACCGCCCTAGCTTCTGCCGTCGCCACCCTAGGACTCCTCTCGCCTCAGTGAACCTCATCAGGCCACCGCCCTTCCCGGAGTTCGCCGGAGTCGCTGCCGCCATGGCCGCCTCCGCCTCCTGTTTCTGCCCGCCACCGCCAGCCTCGCCGCCGACCACAAAAAGGAATCGCCTCGACCCCTAGATCGCAAAACCGGCGCCTCCCCACTCAAAACCGGCCTCCTCTGCAACCGGCGTCATGGGATTACGGCCAGTTCCTGTGCACATAACGAGAAGAACAGGAAATCCTATTTTCCTGTTGAAAAATAAATCAGAAAAATCTTTTTTCTTATTCTATCAGGTTGACCATCCGTTTGACCTCACAATCAAAATCCGAGACCTATTCCAAACTCCTAGAATTATTCCAAATCCATCCATGTCAGTTTCGTTGCAATCCGAGCACCCGCTGTCGCGACCCTAATTTTAGCCCTATGGTTCGCCGTACACCGAAATTTCAAAAATCCCTAAAATTATTTCTTTAAAATCCTTTCCACCCATTGTTTCACTTTGTGATACTATTTGTTTTGGTTATCTTTTTTTTTATGTTATTTATTGTTGTGATGATTGTTGCGTAAATAGAAAACGTTGGCGTTGGCCCGGTAGTCGGAGCGAGTGAAATGTCCGCGCCAGGAGGAGACGGTTTGTACGACTACATCGAGCCTGAAGGTTGCAAGACATGCACCCTTCTTTGAACAACCAGTAGTTAGAGAGTTATTTTGGTAGCGTACTTGTCCTTTGGAGTACGATAGACTGCACGACTTTTTTAAATTAATTATATTGCTATTATTGTATTATATATTCTGTTGCTGTTATGGACACCTTAAAGAGCCTTAGATTCTAACAAGCTTAGGATAAAATTTGAGAAACACTTAAAGATAGGTTATATGGGCTTTTTGGGCTTGCAATATGGTAGTATTAATAGTCTAATATACATCATCGGGGCTCCGCAGGTCACCCGCGGGTGGATGTCCTCCCCCGCCCCCGTCCCCGCCCATGGCCGGGGCCCCGACCCCGACTCCCCGCGGGTCGAAATCAGTACCCACCCCCACCCCCGTAGGGGCAGGTCCACGGCCCCACGAGGGAAATTGCCATCCCTAAGCATAGCCGATAGGGCAAACCCAGCTAGTATCGGCTAGTATTCCATACCACCTTATACCGAGATATCAGCATAGATGAAATATATAAAATTGAAACTAATCTAACGAGCAATGTGAACTAGCAGATTGATAGGAAGCTTAATATACTTTAAACGGATGAGATCTTGATATAAGGGGCAGATTTAGATGATCCAGAACCAAATAAGGAAACAAGACGACTAAATCAAGTAAGATCGGCTAAAACTCCGATGCTATCTCTGTTAGCAATCAAAGAAAGAGCTAGATAAAACGATTAAAGATAGTACTTAATAGATCGAACCTAACCGATGCAGCATTAAGCGTGAGAAGAAACATAAGATCTAATCAAATCGATGAAAACTCATTCAAGATGGTAGATACACCGCATAGTCTAGCTTGATATCGAAGCCTAAACCTGCCTCTCGATGATAGAGGCTAGCCGATGAAGTTTAGATGACGAAACCAATCTAGACTATGCGGTATATATGATAACTCGGCGGTTTACATAGACAGGATTAGAGTGTCATGAAGATGCAAGCACTAATCCCGAGAACGCAAACCTCCATAACAAGCTTTACCTCTTCATTGGAGATCGAACCCGATGCAGCCCAACTCGAAAGCAATAACTTGTCGAAACAATGAAAATAAAAAAGGGTGACGATGCGCCAAAGTATTATTGAACCGTCGTCCCTTGATTACATGGTGTGGGTCATATTTATATTCGAAGTACATAATATGTCCTTGCTGGACATGACTCTTATCTCTAACGAAATTTAAAATACGAATGAGTCCCTTCAGGTGGACTCTTACCAACATATCTCTAAGGAAACTGAAAATTGTCCTAATTAATAGATACAATTGCTCCGTTTTAGGACTCCAATCATTGCGTGGCAATGGCTATGAAGTGCTTCGACCAATCCCAATGATGGACATGGGACCATCTTTCCCGAGATTGGTTGCATCGGCTTGACTCCGTCAGATCTAGCGCTTAGCCGATATGTGGCAGCCGATACCGCCTATAGCCGATTCATGTGGTAGCCGATGCTACTTGTAACTGATGCGTATTCTGCTTTCTCGAACGGAATTTCTCCAAATCGGCTTCGACTCTAACTTTGAATCCGGCCCATGGCATTACCAAATTTGGTCGTTAACAACCGCTTGTGAGCGGGTGGTACACATGATGGAGTTCATGTGTTTGGTTTTATGGACCTGTTTATGGTCGTAATGGATATATGGATATATTTATGGTTATTTCTTATTTAAAATTGATATAATAATCAACCCTCTTGTGCCAATAAGAATGACATAGTTTCGCCCATCCACACGATCGATTTGTCGAACCTGGCCGTATATTGCTCCAATTGATTGAACTTATGCAGGCCTTTCGATGTATTGGCCATTAGCTTTCAAGTGTGTGAAGCAAAGTGACATGGTTTATGTTTATGTGATTTATATATGTGGGCTCGATGGGCCCGAGAGTTCAGAACTGCCCTATGGGCCCATCAAGTTCTGGGCTACCCATCGAGTAACGAACAATGGTAAGTGGATGCGGAGGTAGGTTGGTACACACCTCGGACCGGATCACTCCGAGCAATGACCCGAGCATCCTTTAACTTACTAGGCAGAAGGGAGAGATATGGAGCAATATTACGCCTTGTTACTTTTCAGCCCGGCTAGCTGTGAGTATCGTGTGGGTAAAGCTAGGCAGACGCTGCAGAGTCGTAGAGTATTCGAATACGCCGTGCTCCCAATTAATGGTGATGTGTCTATGGATGATTCCAGATTATGGGCACAAGTTAAACTAAATGGTTATTAATTAATATGGTTAATTTATTTATTGCTTGATGTTTTATTCAAGTTATTTATAAGTGACATTTATATTAATTTTATGCTCGTTATTATCGTTTAAAT